ACCTGGTTGGAGAGCTCGTTGGCACGGTCGCGCAGCTGCTGGATGGAGGAGTACAGGTTCTCGTCGTCTTCCTCCTGCCACGCGGAGAAATAGAGATGAGTACAGCAGGAGCTGGTGCAGATCCGGCCTGCCCGGGCAAGAGACCTGAGCAGGGCACAGAGCTGGGGTCCTGGTGCCGGGAGTGTGCCCCTTCCTCCAGCCCCAGAGACCTTCTTTCAGCATCACGTTAGCTGCAGAGTGACAGGAGTTTGCCCATTGCAGTGCAGCCTCAAAGATGGGGACCGGTGTCCTGGTCCCAAGTGACCCCTCCAGCTAACGGCCTTTTCCTGCCAGTGTGGTTGAATCAACCCTTGAGCCCCACCCTGTGAGCCTGGTTAACAATTCAGCCATTATGCCCATTTTAGAGATGTGGAAACTGAGGCACAGTGAAGGAAAGGCCTTGGGCAAGGTCACAGTGGGTCTAGGGTGGGCTGTTTTGGATGCCAGGCACTCTGCCTGATAGCTGCATAAGAGGGCAGTTCCCAGTGTTTTTCAGAGCAGGGTGGACAAGCAGACAGGGAGGATCCTGCTTCCTGAAGGGGCCTGGACAAGCTGTGACCTCCCAAGAGCCCTCCCAGCCTGGCTGTCCTGCGATTCCAGTCTGGCTAAAGGATGTCGGAGACGAGCAACAGGGGCCCAGCAGGTGCGTGCGCCGCGTCCAGGGGCACTCACCTTGGCATTGACGATCTCCATGTGGACGAGCAGGGAGGAGAGCTCCAGGTCCTCGGTGTAGCTGTTCTTCAGGGGCACCGACCTGTAGCCTGCAAGCAGCACCGGTGTGGTAGGAGCTTGGCCAGCTCGGTGCAGCCCCTCCATCTCTGCTCCTGCCCCCCCCCACTGCACGTGTGTCCCAAGCACGGCCTCACGCTAGTGCAAGCTCTCACGTGCATGCATGCTTACCCATATTATGGAGGCTCTTGGCACCCCAGGTGCTCACACCTCATATTTGCACACGTGCGTGCCCCAGTCACAGGCATGGGGCAGGCCAGGGTGCCTGGGATGGCAGCGGGGAGGGCAGTGGGTGGTGCCTTGGGGTTCTGGGTGGTGGTAGCCTAATGTCTGGAGAGGCAGGCCTAGGCTCACAGGGAGCACAGGGGGTCAGCCCTGGGCTCTAGAGGGTGGCATTGGGTGGTCGAGGGGCTGGCTGGGGCACAAGGTTGCTGAAGTGCAGAGCTTTGTGGCTAGGTGACAGGCAGGAGTCTGATCCCCTGCTGGCTGGGCTGACCAGGTCACCAAATCCTTAGATGCAGGGGTAGCAGTG